CCTGCTGAAATATTATTGTTTTGCTTCATCAGCCTGAGTCTGAGCCTGCCCTTTCTCTTTATACAAGACCCACTTGCATGCACAGACTAGTGAAGTCTTCTACCATATTATGAAAAGAGCTCATTATTTGATCTTCAAACAGTGTATTTCACTTTTCAGCTTAATCTGATTTCTTCTGAAAAGGGATTGAAAAGGTTAGCTTTCATTTTCTTAAGGCATCTTCCCCTTGTCAGATGTGATCATTGTTATGTGTTGTTTCCAGGCCCAACAGTTCTGGAGGTTTTTAACACCTTGTTGAAGCATTTGCGCATCAGTGTTGACTTTGAGCTGGGTGATAGCCGCAGTTCAGTGGGAAGTGCCACTTTCAGCACAGGCTCCAAGGAGAGTGATGAGAGGATTGTCCAGAATGCTATTATTCAAACAATTGGTGAGTAATGACAGTAACAGAGGCTCACTTAAAATTCTTCCCTTTCTCCCCCTTCCTCAATAAGATGATGTTAAAACAGCTTGAATCAAAAAGGAATAATGGCAATTGTGGTATCTCTGACTGTACTTGCTTCTAAATCTCAGGCTTACTTGATGTGACTTCTGAAAAACTGCTCTTTTAGTTGTTAACTGAGAAGATAGCCAAGAAGCTCAATGAAAATTAAAAATGCTCGTGGACTTAACATATGTTGAGTTTGTTGCTTATATTATTATATGGCCCTTGAAATATAAAAATAATTAGGTACCTTTGGTACAGAACTGATATTAGTACTTTTATGAAAATCATATTGCAAGCAGTCATATACAGTAATATATTTCAGTAGGTACTACTTGAAAATTTGTAGAAACCAATTTTAAAAATAGTGGCAACAATGACACCTAATGGCCAGTTGTGCTACCACAACTTAAGTGAAGTACTTTTGAGCACAATACTGAAAATGAGAGCATCAAGTTCTGTAAATTATTTCATTAAAATAGCTCCTCCCCTTTTTTCAGATTTTCTTCTATGTTGGTGACATATATTGCAGTACATTTATGATGTGCATTCCTTTACTTGAAGAACAAGAGGGAATGTAACTTAAATGTTGTTCACTAGTTTATACCTTTGCTTATGCCTTGAAACATTCTGGAGCTGTAGGAAATATGTAGTAGATTATTTCTCACCATTACAGTAAAACTCCAAGTTAAAATGTTAAACCTCAAAAAAACCCCAACCCCCACACCTCCCCCCCCCAAAAAAAAACAAAAAAACAAAAAAAAACCAAACAAACAAACAAGAAAAAAAAACAAAAGCCACATGCCCAAGCAAATCAAAACAAGGAAATCAAAACAGGTGCTCATCCATCTCCAGGAAAGCAGGGCTCCATCACGTGTAATGGTTACTTGGGAAGACAAACACCATGTCTCTGAATGTGCCCCTCCTTCCTTCTTCTTCCACAGCTTCATATGCTGAGCATAACGTCATATGGTCTGGAATATCCCTTTGGTCAGTTGGGGTCAGCTGTCCCAGCTGTGTCCCCTCCCAACTTCTTGTGCAGCCCAAGACTCCTCATTGGTGGGGTGGGGTGAGAAGCAGAAAAGGCCTTGACTCTGTGTAAGCTCTGCTCAGCACTAATGAAAACTTCCCTGTGCTATCAACACTGTTTTCAGAACAAATCCAAAACACCGCACCATACCAGCTACTATGAAGAAAATTAACTGTATCCCAGCCAACACCAGCACACTTCTTATATTGAGGCATCCAAAACTGCACAGAGTACTCGAGGTGGGGCCACAGCAGTGCAGTGTAGAGTGGGAAAATCACCTTCCTTGCCCAGCTAGCTATGCTGTGCTTGATGCACAGGACACGGTTGGCCCTTTTGACTGCCAGGTCACAGTGTTGACGCATTGAACTTGCCACCAATCCAAACCTCCAGATCTGTTTCCTTGGGGCTGGTCTGCTTTCCAGCCTCTTGTCCCCAGTTTGTATGTTTAACCAGGATTACCCTGTCCCAGCAGCACTTGCTTTTGTTAAATTTCATACAGTTGGTGATTGCCCAGTGCTCTAGTCTGTGCAGTTCTCTCTGTAAGGCATCTCTACACTCAGGGTTGTCCACAGTTCCCCCCAGTTTAGTATTGTTGGCAAACTTACTTAATGTACATTTGATTCCTGCATCCAGATCATTTATGAAAGCATTGAAGAGCACTGGACCTAAAATTGAGGCCTTGGGAAACCCCACTGGTGAATGGCTGCCAGTCTGATGCAGCTCCATTTACAACAACTCTTTGAGCCCGACCCATCAGCCAATTGTGCACTCAATGAATTATGGACTTGTCCAGCTGTGTGCTGGATGTTTTGTCCAGAAGGACACCATGAGAGACAGTATCAGAAGCTTTGCTAAAACCCCAAATCACCACATCTATTGGCTTCCCTTGGTCAACTAGGTGGGTGACCTTGACATAAAAAGAAGTTAAACAGGACTTCGCCCTCATGAACCCATGCTGGCTATGACCGATGACTGTGTTATCTCAAGTGTTTTTCAATAACTCCCAGAGCAACCTTTTTCATAATTTTACCCGGCACTGAAGTGAGACTGACAGGCCTGTAATTACCTCTGGTCACAACGTTCCCTGGGGGTTTCTTCTATAGGTGTCAGTGTTTGGCTGCTGTTGCTCCTGGCTCTGCCCAGCTCTCCTCAGCTGCTGTGGCATGAGCTGCTGGCCAGGTCTCTCAGCTCCCCTGAGGTTCCTCCGGCTCAGAAAACGCCCTTGTGCCATGCACTGGACTGCTCTGCTGCCCATCATGCAGGCTTCAGAGCTGCTCACCTTGGCAGTCTCTGAGTAATAGTCATGTCATACTTGTATATCTCTGAGATTTCCCTGCACAGGAATTAGGCATTCCATGCCTATAGTATTTAATGGTGACTTAAAAGAACAGACAAAAGTAACACCAGTGTTCCATGGGAAACACTTCCAGTTCCTCACTAGTTACAAATTAACACGTCACATATTTAACTTTAAAATTATGTATTTAAAGGAGGTTAAAATTAGAAAGTTCTAGGATTCAGAGAAAAAAGTGTCATGAACTGACTCTGTAAAGCCATTCAGCAGAAAGGAACTTCTGAGTATTATACCCTAAAACAAATCGTAGCTTTGTTCTTCATCTATTTTGACATTGTAAATATATTCCTTGTATTTATAAGGCTCTATATCTCTTTCCTTCTGTAACTTTATTTTTATTTAGGATTTTTTGGAAGCAATCTCCCAGATTACCAGAGATCAGAGATCATGATGTTCATTATGGGAAAAGTACCTGTTCTGGGGACGAATTCACAGTCACTGGATACCAGTCACCTTGGGTTTGTATATCCTACATTTTTTTAATTTCCAATTAAAAATTTAGATTTTAGAAGTGAATTAAAATTAAATTAAAAAGTTAAAATAATTAAGAAAAGTGAAATGGAAATTCTCACTAATTAAGGGCTATATTATTAAATGCTGTGCACAACCAAGACAAGCATAGTGTCAGTGGTATGAGATCTGTCTCTAAACGCATTACTGATAGAAGGCACCTGATTGGAATGAACTTAATTTGCACTAAAACGTGTTTTTTTTTTCTCTCCACATCTGTACAGATGTTTCTGAAATTACCTACTTAATGATGGTTAATTCTGTAACCTGTTTTATGTATGTTTTCTGAATGAGGGAAATTGAACTATGACTACATTTTTCAAATAGCTGCCCAATTTACAAATGGTTTTAGTTTCTTCTTCATTCTGTACAAGCTGACTTCAGATTAAGAAATAAACTGCAGAAAGCCCAATGACTTTGTTTTGGTTTAGATTTTCCCTATTTAGGTAGAAATAGGAAAAGCTATAGGTGAATGCCAACTGGATATAACCAGGACCATAGCTCATGAAGGTGGAAGCTTCCACTATAGATAGGGGACAACTTGAGCCTTGCTCTTTCCTTATGCTACGTGGTGGACAAAAGGCTTTGAACCTTTTTTATTTTCTTGAAAGAGTCTCTTTGAATGGAGCAATTTATTCCAAATGCACTTTTATCTTGTAAGATCTTGCAAGAACAGTGCATATGTGACTATATACCAACAGATATTTAACCTTTCAGTACCAGCAGATGGAAAATGAGAAAAGATGAAGTACAGGTTAAGTGGTGTTCCACGCACCTTCCTGTGATCTGAAAACTGAGGGTTCTTTCAGTTTTTCTTGCTGATTTTGCAGATAATTTTTTTTCAGTCTCTAAGTTTTGGGGTCTCACTTAAACAAGAAGAGTCCTGGTTTGTTAAAAGACTCAGTTATGTTTTAATTCAGAAGAAATCTGAGCACTGATGCTTGTGAAAATTAAATCAAGCAGGTAGTGGTTGAACATTTCAGATACAAAGAGATTTCTGAATGAAACATGAAGATTTAAATCTGCTTCACATATATCATATACTGTTTTCTCAGTTGTATGTGCTTCATTTTTTAAGCCTTCCTATAAATATCCCTTTCAAAAACATTTAGTTATTGCATCTCATTTGGAAATAGTTGCCCCTTATTTGTGGTCATCCAGCATCCCTTCCAACACTGCTGTATTCACTTGTCAAAAACACAGTTGTTAGAATGATGTCTGGAGTAGAATAATATTTTGGAGATATGCAAAGAAACTAATTTTCAACTTTTTTCCAATTGTAGAGATTTGGGAACTAGGAGGATTCAAATCATGTTATTGAGATCCTTACTTATGGTAAGCCTTCTGTGTATATTATGTTACAGGCATGGAATGTTTCACTTTATGTATATGTTTATACATATAAGTACAGTATTACAACTCTGTATTATGAAATGAAACATTCCTTTATAGTACGTAGATCTGTAGTTCTTCTGGGTAAAACTGTGACAGCATTTTGCCAACTTGCATACAAGCAGCTCAGGAAATATTCCTCCATCTCTTGGAGCAGTTTAGTGCATATCAGTTTTAATTGCATCTGCAGATCCAAAAGAACATCACAGAGTAGGTTGAGTTGACTAGTTCTACCAGCAATGCTAGCAACATAGAAGTGAAATCACTTTTAACTCTGACACCAGAAAAGCTGTAATTAGTAGTATGGCTAATATTTTTAAATCTGTAGAAATGGATGCCTGTTTCCAAGCCCTTAGAGCCTCTAGGCACCAGTGTTCTTTCCTTCCTAGTATTTCTCAAGTTTCTTGTAAGATGCTGTTTAACTGTTTTATCACAAAAATTACATTTTTCAACTCCAAGCCTTCAAAGAGTATTTCTGGAAATAGATCCTGATGGCAAGAATCAGAAGTGGGTAGTAAAGGAGCTTCTTCCCTGTACAATCCTAGCCTGTTTCGTTGCAGAAGCTGAAAATTTGTTTAGTGACTGAAGTGAGAGAAATAGCATAAAGAATTATTTCATGACTAAAGCAGAAGAATGCCTTTCTGGAAAATGAGTTTCTATCCCTGCTTTGACATGAAATTTGTGTGTGGTGTTAGGCAAATCAGTTAAACCATTCTTTGCTTATAAGAATATGAAATCCTAGATTCCGGCTCACAGAAGAGGTGACCATTCACAGTTGCAGTTTAAGGACAGAAGACATGTTAGAAAGTACCTCAGGGGTTCATTTTGCACATTGTCTTTATTAAAGATAGACTCAGCTATGCCTAAATTGTTTCTGACAGTATTCATCTCACTAGTCTTAAAAATTTAATTTAAGTCAGTGAGAATTGTTCTAATTATTTGGGGTGCTGCAGAGCCTGTGAGTACGCTCTAAGGGATTCAAACTGTGCATGTGGAAGATATTTAACATTTTTGACACTGAATTTTGTTTTGGATCATTTTTTAGAACACGGAAGTAAAACCCCATCATGGCACAATGAAGTGAAAGTGAATGTTTTGGTGCTTAATGAATTACTCAGATGTTGATAAATATTGTGGAAAAAATGTGGGAGGGAATTTGTGTTCAGAGCAAAGTATATAAGGTATAGTCTGCAAATATAATGAAGAGCTAGAAACTGGTGACCCCTGCCTGTTCTGTGTACTGAACTGGGTATTTTCCATCACGTATTCTTTACAAAAGAGTAATACTTCATAACAGAATTAGTCTGTTGTCATGCATACACACAGGCAGACAATTTAATGTTGTATAGACAAAATCTGGCACTTAGTTAAAGGTATGCACTTTTATTGGCAGCCTTACTTCTTGTAATATTAGTAATTTTCTATTTTCAAAATGATTTATTAGATACCTTCATGTACCCTCATGCTCCTCTGCCAACAAGATTCCTTTCAGCCTGTTCAGTTACACTGCAGCAATAGTGCTTGCTCACATGTTGTGGTTTAACCGTGATAGGCAGCAAAGCCCTACCCAGTCATTTGCTCAGTATTTCCCGGTGGGATCAAGGACAGAACCAGAAGGGTAGGAGTGAGAAAAGTGGGTTGAGATGAAGACAGTTGAGTAAGTAAAAAGAGGATACAAAGAAAAACAAAACCAAGGAAAACAAGTGATTAAAAAAAAAAAAAAAACCACCAATAAACCAAAGAAACCACCAAAAAAAAAATTGCTTACCACCAGTTAGGCTGAGCCAGTCCTTGAGCAATGGCAGCCCTGGTAAACTTCGGCCCTCTGCTTTATTGTTGATCACCATGTCATATGGTATGAAATATCCCCTTGGTCACTTGGGGTCATCTGTCCTGGCTGTGTCCCTTCCCAACTTCTTCTGCAGTTCTACTCACTGTCAAGGCAGTGTGAGAAGCAGAAAAGGCCTTGACTCTGTGTAAGCTCTGCTCATCAATAGCAAAAACATCCCTGTGTTATCAGCACTGTTTTCAGCACACATCCAGAACACAGTGGCATATGTGCTACTATGAAGAAAATTAACTCTCCCAGCTAAAACCAGTACAACACAGTTCACATGTAGAAGCTGTAATGGTATGGAATATGCATAATGAAGATGTAATTATTATGTAAAGTCTTAGATAAAACTGTGATTGCTTTTATTATAATTAATTTTTAAATATTTTTTCTGGCCTCACCCTCAACAGCTTATGCTTGTCAGTTTCTGAATCCTGCTTTGGTTTTGAGATTGTAATATTCTGGCAACCTCCATTATAAGGGACAGTAAATTTTAAACATTTTTAACTGCTGTGAATGTTCAACTGATTAATATTTAAATTGTTAGATAGAAGTTAACTTTTCCTTATATACCTATAGAGCTTGCTTTAAATAAAAGTAATTGAATGAAGCAAGTCAATGGTAGTATTTTTTTTTTTATTTTTTTTTTTAATAAAAAACACCACCATGGTGCAAGATTTCTAAGAAAGTGATGTTGGCTGCTTGCTTTCTTTTTGCAATAAAGTAGTATCCATAAATGTTTAAGATGTACATATAGGGCCTGTTTTGTCTTTTTTTCTTCATACGAGCACAGTCAGTACCATGTATGAGCAGCTCAGAGACTGAAACATAAAAAATCTCTGTCGGAATTATTACTGTCTTCATTTTATGCCCTACAACTTTTCATAGGCCATTTTTTCAAAGAACTAATAAATTATACCTTTATGCTTTCGGGTGTGTTGGTAGAGAAAGGATCCTGAGAAACACTTTAAATAGATGAGGGAGTTCATATGAACATAAGTATTAAAGTCCTTCCAAATTCATGATGAGGTTAGGAATTTTCAAAACTATTTCACTGCTTCCATTTGAATCCACTTTTCAGATGCCAAAGCAAGCCCACTAAAAGGTGAGTGACAGCTCCAAGTAATTCTTACAATGCAGTAATAACACACATTAATTTTACTTCCAACAATAAACAGGTCACTTCAGGATACAAAGCAACGACGATAACTAATGCACTTCCTCCCCCATTTCTGGACCCGTTATTGTCTCCTTCACTCATGGAAGACTCTGAGCTAAGGCAGCTGGTCTTGGAAATACTGCATAATCTCATTGATCGACATGACAACAGAGCAAAGCTCAGAGGGATACGGTAATTCTTTTTTGTTTGCTTTGGCCTACTTTAAATTCTGGTTTAATGTTTGAATTATGATATGTTGATTTTTAAATATTTTTCCTAATATGAATTGTTAATGTACTGTTTTGATAAATGCACAGTGCTCAGTGTCATTTATTGATGGCAGGAGTTTTTACAGGTAAGCCTCAGTGCATGATACCTTGAATGACCAAATATCTGCTAGTTTAACTGTGGAAGAAAGGATTTGGTATTTTATGTAGAGAAAAATATGCGGTTGCCAAAATTCTGTTTATGGTTCTCCCTCTTCAACTGAAATTTGAACGTCATTGTTAAACATGGATATCATTAAAATGGAAATTGCTTCAGGATTTGTTTGAATAGTTCATATATTTCACATCCTCTTCCCTTTCAACTTCTTTTTGCTAAAACGACATTTTTGTTTCCTTTGTAGAATAATACCAGATGTTTCTGATCTAAAGATAAAACGAGACAAAATTTCAAGGCAAGACGTGAGCTTCATGAAGAAGGTAATAGATGAAAAGTTAACTTTTCTGTCTAGAAAGAAGATAAAGTAACTGAACCAGTTGCTTTGCTTTTCTTCTGTAACTATGTTTTTGCAACAAGTTGCAAAGATCAATATTGAGTGATTTTAATTCAAATTATAATTATTTCAATGTTGAGGTGCTCTAGATATGCAAAATAGAGTTACGTAGTTTTCAAGTAACAGTGCAAGATACATGTCTAGCTAAGTTAGTACAGTTGATACTCCTTGTGGTATTGTGGTGATTTCACGTGTTTTGATTAATACTGGAATAATACAAATATAAGGAATACTCCAACATTGGCAATTATTAGTAATGTATCATTGTAAAAAGTGAATTAAATTTAAATCCATCAATTTAATGTCTAGGATTTACAAGTTTGAATAAGTTGTATTTACTGATTTTGCTGGATGAGAATTTTAATTGACAAACTAAATCACAGAATCACAGAATGGTAGGGGTTGGAAGGGACCTCAGGAGATCATCTAGTCCAACCCCCCTGCCAAAGCAGGTTCCCTACAACAGGTTGCACAGGAAAGTGTCCAGGCAGGTTTTGAACATCTCCAGAGAAGGAGACTCCACAACCTCTCTGGGCAGCCTGTCACAGGGCTCTGGCACTCTCACAGTAAAGATGTTTTTTCCTTAGGTTTGTCTGGAACTTCTGGTGTTCCAGTTTGTGCCCATTGCCCCTTGTCCTGTCACTGGGCACCACTGAAAGGAGCCTAGCCCCATCCATTTGTCCCCCACACTTCAGGTATTTATAGACATTGATAAGGTCCCCTCTCAGTCTTCTCTTCTCCAGGCTGAAGAGTCCCAGATCTCTCATCCTTTCCTAATAAGGCAGATGCTCCAGGCACCTCATCATCTTTGTGTCCCTCTGCTGGACTCTCTCTAGGAGATCCCTGTCCTTCTTGAACTGAATATTTGCATTGTTAACACTCTGATCTGAAAAAGAGGGCAGGAGAGGAAAAGAGACTCTTATCAGGTCAAGAAAAGGTTATACAGTTTTCTAAAAATGTATTAACTCTGGGGAATGAACTTGTTCAATAGTTATACATGTGATACAGTTTCAGGTGCATATCATAAACCTAATGTGACACCGAGCTTAGACATGTATGTTAGCAGCCTGCTGTTCCTAGATTCCTTGCATTATCAAAGGAGAGGGATGAAGCACCTCCAGAAATCCGTTCAGATCTGAATGTCCATCTTGGGTTGTTTGATGTTAGATGGGGATCGTAAGGCAATTGTGTATCCTACTTAGAAATTTCAGTGCCTAAAATTATGTGGAATTAAGCCAAATTTAGGCACAAAAGTCTTCTCATTTCAGTCCATCTTCTCAAATCCAGGAGGTTTATTTCTATGCTTTCTTTAAAGGGAAATGTGGAAATTCTTGCATTTTGCAATCTTCTAGAAAGATACTATGTGTCAAGAAATTCCACATAATAATTTATTTTCATATCTAAGTGCAATTCCTTTTTTATCAGTGGGATGAATAATTTCATTACTTTTATTTCCCAAATACAGTGTATCTTTAAACAGCTAACCTTTACTGTGCCTATTTCATAGTAGCTTCCGTGCTTTGCAAATAGGTGTTTCCCACTTTTCTAAATAAAACATATGTTTGAACAACTATATATTTGATTTTAGAAGTAATAAAAAGACCAACAGCATCTTTATTATCTCTTAAGTTAATATGTCCTGCTTGAAAAACAAATGTTAAAAATGAGTTTTCTTTCTCCTTCTAAAGCTGAACTAATACTTCCATAGGTAAAGCATCAGTCCTTCAGTCTTGGATATGAGCTGTGTCAACTGATACAGACCTATATCCTCTACAACTTACGAATGCTGTGGTGGTACTGAGTCATGTGCTACATGCAAAACCTGCTTCTTAACCTGCCTGTCTGTCATTTCATTTATTTGTGTTGAAATAACAGTTTATTTAGAAATATTTAGTTAAGCACAGTGTTATGAGGAAAGTCACTTTTGAGGTTGAGGGTCTTTTATTAGATAACCACTATTCTTCACTAGAGCTAGAGCCTCCCTGTGCACAGTGATAAATGAACTGTACTCATCTTCTGAAACACCCTCTAGAAGAATTTTTTCTCAGTTTGCTCTTCAACGAGACTTGGTTAATGAACAAATTTGATGTTTTCACAAGGTTAACCCTCGAAGCTCCTCAGTTACTTGAATATTCTTGAGAATGTTCCAAGATCTACTTTTTATTTTCTCCTTTTCATAAATGGGCAATTTTATTTATGATTATTACAATAGGAAATGAATAGTGCACACAGTGCAGTATTCATGTGCAATTCTTGGTATTATCTTCCCTATCTGTACACTTCTACATTGGAACAGTACTGTGGTTATAAAGAAGCTGCTGTTACAGTAGTAAGCTAGTGGTGGTCTAGATTAGTCTTGTACTTATTTGTGTATGTATGTGTGTACGTGTCTTTTTATCCTTTTTGTTTTTTAATTCTCTGTCTAAAATCATCTAACATCAAAGTTGGCCCTGCTTAGACTAGGGAGTTGGACTAGAGGACCTTAAAATGTCCTTTCTAACCTGAATTATTCTGTGATTTTAATACAAAATTTCCATTTTTTGTCTCTTATAGCATGGTCAGCAGTTGTACAGACACATCTATTTAGGCTGTAAAGAAGAAGACAATGTCCAAAAAAACTTTGAACTGCTGTTTACATCTCTAGCTCTTATCACAATTGAACTCGCCAATGAAGAAGTGGTTATTGACCTCATTCGATTAGCTATTGCTTTGCAGGTATGAGTGAATCACTGTTGGGTTCATTGATTGACAATCTATATTTATAATTGGAGATGTGGATAATGGTTTTTGTTTGCATATTGATCTTCAAGTTGAAAATCACATCATTCAGTCCTAATTTGATCAGTCCATTAAGGAAGTGCACTTTATATATAACACTTCTTAACAGGGAAGCTTCATCTAGTTGAATTTGTTGCAAACTTCTACAGCATGTTCTCTTCAGGCAGTAGAGCAGATGTGGAAATTTGTTGAAACGCTCCCTTGAATGGCTGATAAATGCATTAGCAGATTGACAAGGTGTTCTTACAACCTGTGATCTTACAACAGTGTTCTACATAAAGTATATGGACTGTCCTCACCTTGGAAGAAAGTTTATGGTTAATTGATTGCTTGGAAAAATTTGTCAAACCAGGCTATTTAATCTTACCTTAGAGTAAAATTCTGTCAGTGTGTTGACAGGCTTTATTCTTCAGCATTTCCTTTACAGGTTCGAACATTATTTCATACTTGCATAAGTCCTCAATGAAACTGTGTAACTTAGTAGGTTTATCAGAGTTGAAATTTAAGCATTAAAAAAAAAAAAAAATAGTGCTTCCATGTGCCATGGAAATTTAATAGTGTCCTGTGTTCTGAGTTCACTCTCTGTCCTTAGCCTTTTTCCCTAACGTGCACCTGCATTATGATACCTCTGAAACGCAGAGTGCATCCTTAATTTTAAAATGTCACTGAACCAAACCCTTACTTGATGAAAATGTCATTATGTGTTTTACTAGAACAAAAATAATACAGTCTAAGTAAACATAGAAATGCTAATAAACATGAAATAATTCCCTTTATGGTACTGTATATGTGACTCACAAGAGTGATTTTTGTTATTAAAGTACTGTTTCTAATTTTCTTGCAAAATGAATTATGATCAGCAGGTGATAAGGTAAAAGACTTCCAGACATTAATCTCTACTCTTTTTCTGAGAAACAGAAGTTTAAGAACAGAGTTGAGTAGACTTACTTCTGTTCATAGGGATTGAATCCTTGAAGCTAACATCAGATCAATACATACCTAATTCAGAAGTGAGCTAATAGATTAAGATTTTAAGATGAGAGGTATTAAATGCTAAGTAATACCAGATAGTCATCATGTGTCAGCTAGTGTTACTAATAAGAATTTTGACTTCCATATATTTGGAACAGCCTGTTAACTTAGGAGGGTGTAACACTGTCCTTTATATTTCCAGGACATTGCCATCATCAATGAGGATAATCTGCCTATGTTTAATCGTTGTGGTGTCATGGCATTGGTTGCAGCATATTTAAACTTTCTGAGTCAGATGATTGCAGTTCCTGCCTTTTGTCAGCATGTCAGCAAGGTAACATAATTAAGTACTTTGTCTTTTAGAACAGTACACATTTTACTGTAAAATGGGTAAATGACTTCTGTCAAGTAATTGCTTCTGGTATCTTGTATTGATACCAATTGATCTCTTGTATTTGTGTCCACCAACATCACCCTTTGTCTTTGGTCTCTGAAGGCATTACTTGCTGACTCTTTAAACTATGCACAGAATATTCTTCTCTCAAGGTATAGCATTTTTATTTTGTTTATGGTACCATATATAATGGTCTAAATCCCCATCTGGTATGAGGCTTTACATCCTCACTGGCTTTGGTAAAACAGTACTGATGTGCACAAGACCATGAGAACCAGATTTTTACTCTAAAGGGTGAGTGCTACAATCTCTTTCTCTGGTCAAAATAAATTCTGAAGGTCTCATTTGTGCTGAGGTAGATATTAGTGAAGAACTGGTAATCTACTGCATTAGAATCTCTTTAAGTAATTTAGTCTTTGGAGAAAATAGCTATGGAACTACTCCATTTGTACTATTGGTCTTGTTTTTTTCAGGTCATTGAAACTAGAAGTTTGGAAGCATCTTATTTTCTACCAGAAATAATTTTCAAAGACAAATGCAAGTAAGTAGATGCAGAATGTAAATTAATGTGCAGTGAAGTACCTATTTTACTATTAAAAATCACACATCATTGAAATATGTTGCATACATGAAAAATAATTTAGAGATTTAATAGTGTACAGAATAGGCAGAAGAAAACTAATCGTTAAAAGCATATATGCTTATATGAAAAGAATCTGATTTTCAGACTTTTTTTATTGTAGTCAGAGGCACTTACATCTGCAAAATATGATGCTTGGTGTAAGTGCTAACAGAACAAGATGTATTTTCAGTGAGCCACAGGATGAGTGAAATTGGAAGGGACCTCTGGAGATCATCTGGTCCAATCTCCTGCTCAAGCTGGGTCACCTAGAGCAGGCTGTCCAGGACCACATCCAGATGGCTTTGGAATATCTCAAAGGATGGAGACTCCACAATCTCTCTGGGCAACCTGTGCCAGTGCTTGGCCACCCTCACAGTAAAAAGTGTTTCCTGATGTTCAAACAGAACCTTCTGTGTTTCAGTTTGTGCCTATTGCTTCTGAACCTGGGCACCACTGAAAAGAGCCTGGCTCTATTGCCTTTCCACTCTCCTTCTCTTAAGGTAGTTGTCCACATTGATAAGATCCACCTTCTTTTCTCCATGCTGAACCATCCCAGCTCTGTCTTTCTTCCTTGGACAGGTGCTTCAGTCCCTTAATCCACCTTTGTAGCCCTTTGTTGGACTCTCTACAGTAAGTCCATGTCCCTCCTGCCCTGTGGAGCCCAGCACTTGACACAGTACTCCACGTGTAGCCTTACTAATGCTGAGTAGAGGGAAAGGATCACCTCCCTTGACCTGCTGGCAATACTCCCAGTGCAGCCCACGGTATCTTTTTGTCACGAGGGCGCATTTCTGGCAAATGGCAAATACTATTACACTGCAGTTTTTTTCCATTTAGCAGATACAATATTATTTCAAGATGTAGCAGAATAGGTGAGGAACATATTTCAGATAACCATGAAGTGTTAAGGTAATTTAAAATGTGGCAGAGGTATTCAGTGGACTCATTTTGGGGTGTATATTCATTCCTAAAAAAGTGAGCATGTTTTATTTCCATCAAATGATTACCATTGACCCTTTTTGGTTTCTTGCAGACATTGGAAAAATATTTTACTTAATGAACAAGTCTCTGTTGGTAGATATTAATTTCAAATATATGTTTTCACAGTCTTCCAAAATCCTTAGAGAAGCATGAAAAAAATTTATTTTTCCTGACAAACAAGATTGCAGAATCACTAGGAGGCAGTGGATATAGTGTGGAAAGATTGTCAGTTCCATATGTACCCCAGGTAACAGGTAAGTGGTGATTAGTTGCAAAACTACTAAGTCCCAGTTATTAAGAATGCTTTCTTGATGTTTTCTATGCCAATGAAATGTAATGTCACTACTTGGCAACAAAATTTAATCATAGTATAATTTTGTTTTCTCAAGATTTTTTTTTCTCCTTAGCTACTGTATTATTTCCAAGAAGTTTCAACTTTGTGTCCTTTTAAGATTTTTATTTTTTTTCCCATTAAATTCGAGAGGGGGGGGGCGAAAGTTCTTGAACCCACTTCAACTCTTTAATGAAGTCTTTGCTTTTGGAAGAATACCTAAGATAATAGTAGTGATTATTAATGTTTTTCTGTATTAATTTGAATTAGCAGGAGAGGATGGTTTACACAAGTCAGCATCCTTTATCCTTTTTATGTAAACACTGGTTGGAATGAACTCCGTCCTTTTGCCATGTGGCCTTCTGCTGACTTGAGTCATTGGCCTTAAATTCTCAACGAGCAGATGTTAATTTAATCAAGAATGTTATATTTTCCCCCATTAGATACCTATGCTAGCTTAGTGTCAGGTAGAACAATGAAAATAAAGTATGCCTGAGGAGGATTGGTGGGAGTTTGTGCTACCCAGGATCCATGAGTAGTGTGTGAATGACTAGCTAGTATGTGGCGTCATGTGGTTTTGGCTTCTAATGTATTTTCAACGGCCAATTGAGCAACTTACTGAAAAAAAATTGTTTGAAGAATTTATTTTAATAACCATGCGTGTTTTGTGGCTGTACATGACTGGCTGCTATTGTAATAAACTATGGGACATCCCAGTCTGAAGCATGACCTTTTTGTGAAATAAAAGTACTTAGCAGGAAAATGTGATTCCTGTGTTTTGTACTCAAGTGTAGAAAGAAACATAGTACATATGGACAGTGAGTGCCAGATCTGCCACACCTGCAATATGATTCAGAGACATTGCTGCCTGTTCTTGAAATAAGCTTTTTTGGATGGCTGCTATGGGAGGGAATGGGTTCCCCAAAACAGTGGGTGTGGTTTTGTCCCAAGTGCTAGCAGACAAACTGATATATTCTAACACAGGGCAATGTCTGTGTTCTCTGTTGCTGGCTGTCTTCTTCTAAAAAGGAAAATGCTGCTATACTTGACAGATTATTTCTTCTGGCATCCAAAAAACAGTTAACATTATATTTTAGTATTGGCAGAAGAGGTAGGTTGCACGTAAGGAAATGTTATGTTTTCCAGTTTTTACTGTCTTTGAGTGAATGAGAATGGAATGAGAAAGATAGCCTGGTTTCCTGGTTTGAAATTTATGTTAAGCCTCTTCTAGAAATTGAGATGTATTTGTACCCAGATAACCTTGCTACGGTTTTCTTGGATACTTTGATAAAAATGCACTCCTGCATGGGAAGATAGGTAAGTTCTAACATTAAGGTTAAGAGAATTTAGCTGCCTCTTCAGGTGTTGAGAACCAGCCATATTTAATGCTAAATCTTAATGTATGTGAATCAGATTTTTGAGGGGTTTTCATAATCTTCTTCTAAAGAGCAGTAACCAAAACTGGTTCCATGTCTGTTATCATATCTAATTAGGATCATTAATCTCTGATCCTGTGGGATATCGAGCTTCCTAGATTTTCATTTAACTAAATCAGGACCAAAGTTAATATTTTGCAATTCTGAAACTTTTAATTTTTTACTTCAAAGTTTCATTCTACTATTGTATTATAATGCTACAATATAGTGTTTCAAAATATGTCATTAATTTTAATAAAAGGTGGATCCATGTTTTATATATTGGTGTGAAAGTTGTGGTCGAACCCAAAAAGCCAGTAAAGATTTTATCCTAATTATTTCTAGTATTTCTAAATGTCGATGCTTAACAATGACTTACAGACATAAAATCATCATCCTGTCTTTGTTTCAGGTTTTGGTACTTCTTGTTGGTTTGAAAGACATTCATATCTGCAACTTTTTGTACCTTGTTCTCTTCCTTATTTGAGGGAGGGGGGGAAGGTGATAATTTAAATGTACACTTAATCATTTTTTGTCTATACATATATAATTTTTTAAAAATTTAGCTCGATTTTCATCAGGCAAAAAACTTCATAAATGCAGTCACAAGTCAAAAGGTAAAAATGAGTTGTAGGTCAGCCTGCTCTTCTGCTAGCTGTGGTGTGTGTGTATAGGATGTGTAAAAAATAAAAAATACAGTAAAAAAAAATACGCTTGTAGAAGACCTTTAGATCTTTAGGCAGAAACTCTGCTGTACGTAGTGTATTTAGTGTTTCCTTCCGCTTTTTTTGTTTATCTCCTTGTTATGCCTGTAGCAATGTTAGCTGCTGCAAGGTTTGCCTTTGTGTTTACTCTCAATTTGTAACTCTATGATATGGTAGCTTCCTATTTTCTTTTCCTGAGCAGGTAGTAGGGCTATAAGTATAATTTTTGTGATGGTACTTATTACCCCTTTGAGTGACATTACAGGGAATTGGTAAGAAGTTAGAAGAAGGTCTCAGCTTAAGGATGATTCCTCTTACTGATTGACTGTTCAGGAAAAAGGTCTATTAGTGGGACATGTATACGTGCATATATTCTGTGTGCATCCCACCAGTAGCTGGGCTTAGACACTGTTTGCCCACCAGCTGTCTCCTGGTTCCCAGTCTCCCCAGCCACTGGCACCTGAGCATGTGAGTCCCTGAGGACCACAGCCCCAGCCCAGCTGCTGGTACAGGTTCCCTTTGTACACAGTAGTGCACACAGGCGTGCATGGATGGGTCTCAGTCAACCTCCCAGGCTCCATGCTCTTTCTGACCAAGCCTGGGCTTCCTGGTCCCTCCAGGTGCATTTCCCTCAGAGACTGACCCACAGACAGACAGACACACATGGACACCTCCAGATCCCAGGCCACTTAATCTACTTGCCTGCTGGTCCTGCTTGATATTCCTTCATTACCATGCATGGGTGCTGTGCATTCTTGTTTGCTCCAGGTGCACAGGCCCACTGACCAGTGGTGAGACCCCAGCTGCTGCACTCAGACCCCCGTGAACACTCCTGCACAAAGAATAGAGCCCCTCACCCAGGAAAAGGCAAATGGGATTTAATGAGAAGATGGGAGAGGCTGCGTTGATGACACTCAGGGCATGGCCAGATGCACATACTAACCAACAGCTGGTTTACATGGGACTGATTCCTTCATCCCCTTCTCCATCGATTTTCCTTGCTTGCTCCTCCCTAAATTATCTCAATCCTCCTTTTTCCCCACCCCTGGTTCTTCTCCTAAACATCCCATACTAAACCTTTTGAAATCCCAATGTGCTGTTGCCCTGCATCCCTCAATGTGTCCCATGCCCCAGGCACTGACCCTGCCTTGGTCAGTGAAGTGACCCAGAGAGCTGCTTCCATTGCCCCCTGGGGTGGGTGTCACTTCTGGACCGTGGGGCCAAGACTCCTGGAACAGTGGGTATTGGGGCTCCACCACTGCCCTCGTGCCTCTGGACTCCTCTGTGTGCATGGAGACAAGCTTTATATCAGATAACAGAAAAAACTGCAATTTTCACAATTTTATACCCACTTAATGTCTTGAAATTAGAGAAGAATGGGCATTTTTATTAGGCAAGTATGATGAGGCATCCATTATAAAAATTAATTCTATCCAAAGTATTCTCAGAAATGTGTCTTCTGCTGTTTGCATGTCAGTTATAGAGAAAGCAGCAAGATGGCAGCAAAGATGTAGTTTTATGTTGTGTTTACTCGTGAGGGCTGAGATGCTTTCCCTAAACTCTGTGTATTGCCTTGTGTACCAGTGAGCTGTCAGGGATTAAAAATCAAGTAAATCCTTCAGAATGCCACTTTAAATGCCCAGGAACTCTGAGAACATGGCAAAGATAGCTAGAGTTTGGGTGTTTTTCACTAATCTTGTTCTTTCACTGCCTCTTGATCTTAAAATGGCATTTCATTTACATGACTTCCAGAAGTTATTTCTTGATTTTTTACAAACTGAGTGTGTTCACCTCTGCTGGAATGAATTCTCTTTGTTCGTGCTCAATATTTGCACTGCAAAAGTGCTTTGCTAGAAGTGATTTAAACAAAGGTTGTGGAACAAGCAGCATAAATTGCTTTGTGGTGGTGGAGTTTTATAGTCCTTGTCCTTATCCTTATCTTAGTATCAAGTGCCTGTAGGTGCTTCTAACAGTGTGCAGTGCAAGTCATGAAATAATAATGGCCAGGTCCAGATGGCTTGATCTGGGCTAAAAATTTAAAATGTGACATTGAAATCCATGGTATTGTAAATGAGATGCATGGAAGTTGGGCAACTAATGTCTCCATTTGTCAGGGGATCCTCATGACACATCTGTAAATAAGTTTTTACTGGTTTTTGTTCTTTGGGAGTTCTTTTTTTAATTTTGTGTTAATATATTAAATGTCAAAAATGAGAAAAGGTTATTGGTCTATTTTCTCAGGAACGCAGTCCCAAAAAGGAAAATCCATCAACTGATGGATGATTTGATCATATCTGCTTAAGCATTAATGAAATTGTTGTGCTCTTTTTAGTATCAGCATTGTCTTATTCTGACAATTTTTTAGGCCAGCTGGACTTGTTAAAATGTTTGTAGGAAGTTAGAAATGGAGACCAAATTTTTCACCAAGTAGATTTTTAGACTCATTGGATATAGTACTTGTAGCAACAAGAATAAGGAAGGATTGTTGTTCATTTCCATTCAGAAATCTGTTTCTTCTGTCAATGAGTCATCTTCCAAGAAACTCTCTTCTGTTTCAGAATACCTTCACATTGAGACCTTAATGTTTAAATTTCACATAAAAAAAAATTCAGGCTTTTATAAATTACTCTGCAGCAATATATCATTTACTATGTTATTTATTATGCATTTGAAGATCTCATTTTTATATTTTTTTTTTTAATTCTGGTCTTTCAAGGGAAAGTTGGCAAGATCTGGGGTGAGAGGGGGAAGGGACAGTACAAGGGTTATTTTCCGTCATATTTAATAATTTAGAGCAGTAACTGATAATTTTTCACAACAATCCAAATGATAAATAGGTGCTCTTATGTTAAATAGGCATGTAGAAACAAATCGGCTTCTGATGTGTAGAAAATTGATTGATGATGTTTCAGTTGTTATACAAGAAGTGAGATAAGTTGTTTTTCTTCTAGATGAGGACAGACTCTCCAGGAGGAAGAGCATTGTGGACACGGTATCTATTCAGGTGGATATTCTGCCTGGCAACAACACGGAGGATAAGGTATGAAAATCATGAGGTCTATTAAAGCAGTATCTTTGCAGAGGGGAATGCAAATGAGTTTTTCCCAGCAAGTCTATATATCTAATTGTTCTAGCAATGTTAAATGATTTGGGGTTTTTATTTTTTTAACTCCTATATTTGTAGAAATGTGTTGGCAAAGACACTGATACTGATCTTGCTGTATAAAAATGTGAAGTATTTTGTCACTGTAATTTTTACAAGGTAGTACTGCAGAATATGTAGCAATACATATATATGCCAAACAACTAATATTTTATGATTAAATATTCTAAAAAAAATTCTTTGCATTTTGAAGGGTCAAATAGAATTTCTGCACCTGTATGCCTGCATGATTTGAAGTATCTGAGAGTTGTTCATCAACATGAGGCTGGCAGATATAAGACTAGTGGGAGACCTGCTGTCTTTGAGAGGGACAGGTAAAGACTAGGCAGGCTACTCACACCACCGTGTTACCGTATCACTTTTCCCTTCCAGAAGAGTTTAGCACACAGTGCTTTAAAGACACGGGAAGGATAGGGTGGCAACAAAAAGTTCATATGAAGGGTACAGGAGCTAATGCTAATTATCCCTTAGGAAGACTGCATTATAATTAAAATTATCCCACATCTTTTGACTCTTCATGTGAAGTATTTCTTAAAATAAATATCCATTTCTACTGAATCTTTTTCAAGGTTCTGCTGATTTTTATTAACGAGATTTCTGCTGGCTCTGATGGAGATTAGCTGTTGAAGTTGAGGTTTTCGTACCTGCAAGTGAATCCTACCTTTAGCTTCTTAAAGCACCAGCCTACTAGGAACAGAACATGTGGACAGAGTCAAGCTGAATGTTAGCTAAAAATGCAATATTAAAGTATTGCAAAGGAGCAAGCCTCACTTTAGAACTGACTGACACAAGTGATTTATGTTTTGCATCATTATTATTATTCCTTTGTGCTAATGATACCTTAGGTGATACTCTGTGTTTGCTTCTTGGCATTGTACATTAGCAAGGATACAGATAAACTAGATAAAAGCATAGAAGAAAGAAGAGAAAAAAAAATTGTAAAATAATACAGATTATCAGAGTCTTTAGCTTTCTGAAGAAAGTAAATGATCATAATAGGAACAGGAGTGTTTGCCATTGTTACCCTTTTAAAAATATTTATCTTGTATGTGACTATATGTGATGGAACCTCTCTCTTGAAAGTAGAATTAAATGACAGAAGTTGCCATTTCAGACTTCAGATTATTATGCTGATGTTATGTTAAACATTCTGGTTCTCTTGCAATGTAGATAAGTAAATATAACATAATCTGTAACTGTCAGCAGAATTAAACTGCAAAATAAAAGAGCATAGAGCTTTATGATTGGGGGGGATAGACTACTCAATTAATGGAAGTTTTAGGATTAATGATATATGTATAATTTCTACACTGTCTGAGGTAGAAGGCTATTTATCCATAAAATATCTATTATTGCATACAATACGAATGCAATTCTTTTTTCAGCACAATGATAAGTGTTTTGTTGTGGCAAGTCTGTTAGTGGATCCTGTTTAGGAGGATGGTTTATTCCCTAGTTATCTCCATTTATAAGATGAAAACACTGGTAAAAGCAGCTAGTGCTTCTGTGATATTAATAACCAAATATAATGCTGGCTACTATCAGCAACTGCTATAGATGTTAATCAGAAATCTGAAAGGCTGCCATGAAGAAATAGTATTTACCAAATATGAATCGTATAAAAGATTATTATTTCAAAACCTGAATACTCTTTATCTCTAGCCATATACACAAATACTTGACATAAAGAAGTTTTGCTGTTTATTTATTGACCTCTTATACATTCAGAGGTAGAGAATATGATGCTAATGTAGTAAAATCTGTTAGAAAAGTATAATTTACAGCTCTATCTCCTGAAATAATACTGATGTAAAAAGGAAACAGCTACTTGTTCTGGCTTTTCCATTTACAGTAGGTCAAGTCAATTAATTATATAAATGAAAGAATTCAGAGTCTTCTGAATTAGGTGAAATAACTTTTTGTTACCTTACAGATCTTTTATCTTAAAATCATATTAGACCATTCTAAACAGTTAGTGTTTATAAGGATAAGTAAAAGTGCTGCCTGTTTGCATGTAGTTAGTTTTGAAGGATTAAAGTAAGGCAGTCCCAGCCAAGAAACCATGTTATATTCAGGTGAACACTGTTCTGCCATCTAAGCGTTCTCCCCTAATATTATCACAGTGGTTTCACTGTAGATATACTTACTGATATAGAAACTCTAGGTCTGTAAAGAATTGAAACACAAAGATGTATGAACTGGAGCTCTTCAGAGAAATGTGCATGCGTCTTTGGTAATTTTGCAGCCCTAAGCATTTCCTAATGAAGTACATCTGCAGCAGCAAATGGATATTCATATTGCTAAATGACTAAATTTTCTCAGTGCCTCAGACGTAGCTTGTTATAAAGAGCCCTTTAGCTCCAATGTTTATGACATCAGCACCGAATTATTCAGAGCCCACACTGGTATGAAGTTAGCCTAAAGCAATAACTGTTTTACACTCTACCCTCCACTACTGTCTCTTATTTTAGTATCACATTGCTGGCAGCTCAACTAGTGTCAGGAAGCAGTTGCTATTATTCCTAACAGCTGTCTAAGAAACAGTACTGAGGCTTAGCAGTATAGAAACACCACAGCACATTCCTGACCCAGAGCAGTGTTGTGCCAGAATTCAAGTCCTGTTCAAAAGTATTGTTGCCATAGAGTGTCTTGAGCAGAATTTAAAAAGTTTTCCTCAATCTCATTTGATAAAAATTTCCCCAGTAATTACAGTGGCTTAAAAACATGAGTTGGTGATCTGTTGGCTGCCATAGAAACTCCAGATAAAGCTATTAGAAACTTGTAAGGCAGAAAAGCTCTGTGGCCACGTTGGCCTTCTGTATTGATCACATTCCTTATTTTTTAGAAGCTTGTTATATATGAAGTTTAAGGAGGTTTGTTTCTTTGTGTTTAGATTGATAATACTGAAGAAATCACCTTTGAAGCTTTGAAGAAAGCAATCGGTAAGACTTAGTACAATTGTGTTTATGCAGCATAGTTTTAGATTACTGTGGAATTGCTAGAGAAAACAGTGTTGCCAGAATAAAATAATTAAAATATTACATTTGTTTCTTTTTAGCTTTATTTATTTCAGTTTATTTAAAAATTTTAGTTAAGTATTTCTGAAATTATATCTTAATAATTTTAGTGAATTAATTTTCTTAAGCTAATGTGACTGAATGAAAAGCATCTGGAAATGGTAATTCTCTGTTCAATTTGCCCTTATAGGCCAAGCTATAAATAACATGAGATTTTCAAGTTCCATTGAGTGATTATTTATAAAGCAACTAAAAATTTTTACGTATTAAGATTTTCAGGTCTTCAATACATTCAGAAAATAGATTGTGAGGTACATGTTGTGGACTTCAAAACCACTCAATTTTTAAAGGAATGTTTTTCTGACAAGTGACTCAGCTACCAGAACTTGGAATTATCCGGTTTCCTTATTTCATATCACTATGAGTAATTACTAATCAATGCTGTCCTGTCCACCAAAATCCTTTCAAAAATGTGGATTGGACATTGATGTTTTAAACAATAGACACTGTCATTTTAAACAATAATTCTATCTGACAGCTTTCCAAACCTGCCTAATCACTGAGGTACTTAAACTCATTAGATGCTGGAAAGTGCCAGCTAGTTGTAAGTTCACTCAGCCTATGGAGATTGAACTCACTTTTCCTAAATTTTAATAGAGAATCCTGCCCACCTCTCTGCATGGTACTGGGAGGGAGGATACTGCCTTCTTTTTTCTTGAAGCTGAATTTGGGTGCAGTGAGTGAGAAGTGCAATCTTGAGTCCTGATAATAAAGCAAAAGGAAGCCTGGCTGTATTGGTAATTGAAACATATAATAAGAAATGGGCAAAACTGGGGTCCTCAATCCAGCTCCCTAAAATTGTATCTGTGTTTTGTTTTAGAAGTACTGGCAGGTGACAGCTCATTTGGGTATGGTCACATCACTTCAAATACAGTGCTTGTTTGCTTCTGCAATGTACATTGGAAGGTTTATATTGCTTATACTTGGTACATAAAGATTACATTTGTCTTTCTTTTCTTTTTTTTTCGGGTTTTTTTTTTTGTTTTTTTTTTAAGATAACAATGGAATTGAAGAACAGGAAAAAGAAAAAAGGCGTCTTGTGATTGAAAAGTTCCAAAAAGCACCATTTGAAGAAATCGCAGCACAATGTGAAACCAAAGTGAGTTTCTGAAAAATGTTTTCACAGAATCACAGAATGTTGGGGATTGGAAGGGACCTCGAAAGATCATCTAGTCCAATCCCCCTGCCGGAGCAGGAACACCTAAATGAGATCACACAGGAGCGTCCAGGCGGGTTTTGAATGTCTCCAGAGAAGGAGACTCCACAACTTCCCTGGGCAGCCTGTTCCAGTGCTCTGTCACCCTCACAGTAAAGAAGTTTCTTCTGAAGTTTAAGTGGAATCTCCTATGTTCCAGCTCACACCCATTGCCCCTTGTCCTATCATTGGGCATCACCAAGAAGAGTCTGGCTCGATCCTCGTGACGCTCACCCTTTATATATTTATAAACATTAATGAGGTCACCCCTCAGTCTCCTCTTCTCCAAGCTAAAGAGACCCAGCTCCCTCAGCCTTTCCTCATAAGGGAGTTGCTCCACTCCCTTAGTCAAAGGGAGTTTTACAGGGTTGAAGACAGTAGCATAAGAATTAATGGGGATGTGCTGGCTAAAGGCAATTTATGTTGTCATGTCACTGCTGCTGTTACTTCTAAAGAAGTTCAGTTCTTTGTCTTCAACTATCATCTCTACTATTATTAATACTGGGAGATTCCAGTTATTTAAAGTGTGCTTTTGATTGTTACTAGACCATTTGAACAGGAATGGAAATCTCATACACTCTTTGTCTTAATGTCTTCCCTACAGTCCGTTCCTATTTCATCCTGAGAAAACTGGAGCAGTATTTACCCCGTTTTATATTTCAAATAACTAAATGTATTTTGTGTTTGTTAAACTCCTATCTGCAACAGCAAAATTGCCCATACAATGCCTTGCACTGCAAGACAGGCTCACTCAGTCTCACATCCCTCTTCAGGGCTCAGAATCCTTGCAGCAGCGAGAAAAGGAATAAAGATAGGAAATGTTGCCTGAATTTGCCATGTGATGATGTGAAACACACTCACCGAGTATGACCTGGCACATTCTTTTTGGCTTGATTCAATATACAGTAGTTAATAATTTAATTTTATTTTTTTTTTCCTAGGCAAACTTGCTTCATGATAGACTTGCACAGATACTGGAACTCACTATCCGGTAAGGCTTTATGCAAGAGGGGTATGATGAATGAAACATGAGTTATAAAGCAATTGTGACTACTTTCAGGTGCTCATGTCATAGTGTTCACGTGTAATAGACAGAAAGTAATTGACTTAACTGAATGTTGTGGTTTAATCCTGGTAGGCATTTAAGCCCCAGACAGCCACTGGCTTACTCCTCCTCAGTGGGATGGGGAAGAGAATTGGAAGGGTAAAAGTAAGAAAACTCACGGGTTGAGATAAAGATAGTTTAATAGGTAAGTCAAAAGTTATGCGCACAAGCAAAGCAAAACAAGGAATTAATTCACTACTTCCCATGGACAGGCAGGTGTTCAGCCACTTCCAGGAACACAGAGCTCCATCACACATAACTGTTACTTGGCAAGATAAACGCTGTAACTCCAAACATTGCCTCCCTTTCTCCTTCCCCCACCTTTATATGCTGAGCATGGTGTCATGTGGTGTGGAATATCCCTTTGGTCAGTTGGGGTCAGCTGTCCCAGCTGTGTCCCCTCCCCTACTCACTGGTGGGGTGGGGTGAGAAGCAGAAGAGGCCTTGACTCTGTGTAACCTCTGCTCAGCAATAATGAAAACATCCCTCTGTTTTCAGCACAAATCCAAAACACAGCCCCATGCCAGCTACTATGAAGAAAATTAACTCTATCCCAGCCAAAGCCAGTACACTTGAAAAAAAGAGTAGTCGTCATCTAAAACAGTCGCTTTGATTTTCTTGTTGTTATTTTGAATCTTTTAGATAGTGGGAATATCCATAAACAATATCATAGTATCCTTCTATTCTTGTATTATTTCTGTGTATATCAGTAGTATTGAGGAATGCTGTTGTTTTCCCATTGCTGTATCTGTTTGAGAAAGTAATTCGATATTGAACAGTAAGAATAGTGCCTGACATTATTATGGGGAGTTGTGCACATCATTGTGCAGTATAAATAGTATTTGTTAGTAATAAAATGCATTTTCATAGTTCTGTAACATTATTGAAGTTGATGATTTAGACAAGAGTACAAGAAAAAACCTGAGACATGATAATTTCATTAGAATTTCAGGAATAGGATAAAATACTGAGTATTGGTGTGGGGGCGTAGTTTCTTTGCTGTTAAAGTATAAAGTTATACAAAATAAAGCAATCCATATAATTATAAATTATGTGTTATATATTGTTATATGTAGAAATTATATATTGTTCTTTTCATACAGTCCTCCACCTAGCCCCTCAGGAACGATGACCATTACTGCTGGACATGCTCATTACCAATCTGTTCCAGTCTATGAGATGAAGTTTCCAGATCTTTGTGTGTATTAAGTGTCTTCTGAAGTCTGCTGGACATTGTTTAGAGTAGAGTACAGTAGAAAGAACAAGATGAGTTTTCAAATTTTACTGGTTATTTCATCTAAAGTAACTTTAAAGTAATGATGGACATGAGCCAAATATAGATTACTCTAGCCAAAGTCATGAGACTGTCCTGTTTTCTTCTGTAATATAGTTGAAGTTAGGTTTTCCATATGTTATGTTTCTTCATTTTCATATTTAAGTACATATAAAAGTCAGATTTAAAACTTTTATTGCCATATAGCTGAATATTTCAGTTACGCTAGGAATTTGTATTTCTGTAAGTTCCTTTAATTTGAGGCATTGTAACTGAAGAACCTGTTAAAGCTTTTTGTTTTCTGTTTGTCGTTTTTTGGGGTTTTTTTTCCTCCTCTTCACCTCAATTGTATATCTAAATAGAATGCTTTTGGCTTGCTTCATCTTGATAAATGTAACTGGTGGGGCACTCCCTACCTTAGCTCCCTTTGTTCATGCTGTCATAGCTAGTCAACTTGTTCATTTTGGAATATATGGAAAAAAACAATACCTTACATGTGTTCAAGTAAAGTAAATGAATTAATGGACACTTGTTAAGTATTTTTTTGATGCATCACATAACATGCTTTTTATAAATATATACATATATCCGCCCAGTATATGTCCTGTGTTTCTTGCTAAAAGTTAGCTGCTTTGCATAAGAGAGGAGAAATCTCTTCTTGAAGCACTGAACTGTGCAATATTTTTCATGTCTTAAGGTGTATGGTTTACAGACTGTACTTTTGAAAATGCAGTAGTATTTTTCTGTCTGCTTTAGTATAAATACAGGAGAGATATATTTAGTATAGCAGAAAATAAACTGAGGGCATTTTAAATAATAAATACAGAAATTGCAATTATATTCTATGAGGTATGTCTCTGTAGTTTATTACAGCTTTTTAATGATATTTTAGAAACTGAAAGAAAACTGGATGTAACCATTTCAAGACCAAGAATTTGTTACCTATGTTTTCAAGCAAAAGCATTTTTAGAGATGCATCTCTGTGTTTGTTTTTGTTTCATTTCTCAAACCTTTCTAGAAATAAAGAAAATGTGGTAACTTTCATAGGTTTATGTATCTGAATATACTACTCAAATGTAAATAAAGTCAAACTGATACAGTAAATCACTGAGCTTTTGATGATAATTGTCAATGCTGTCTTTATGACTCCCTAAATTCTGCAGGCAAAAAGAAAAAACAGCTTTAGCTGTCATGAATAGTAAGTTTGAAGTCCTTTAGTTTATCTGAATCTGACTGAATCAGCATAAACTTGAATGTTCACAAATATCTACAATAAATATGAGACATTAAGTTCGCCGGCAGTTTAGATAAACAGTGATCAGGCCATGACCGCTTGGTTTAGATGACCTTCAGAAGTCCTAGCCTAAATTAATCTATGCTTGCATAATTGTAAGATCTGAATCATTATTAGGCCAGCTAATTTGATGACTATTTTGAGCATTTGCAAACCCACTGTAAAATGGATTTTAAGTTTTTTGAACTGTAGTACGATATTCCACTGGGCTACTTTTAAAAGACTGATGTGACATAACATCTGAGAAATATCAGCTACTTAAACCTATGAGCTAACATGCTGAGACTTTCAGAAAGCATTCACGAAACTCAAAAGGTAATTGAGACCTTCTTTTCAGTTTAACAGTGCAATCACAGCTGTTAGTGGATGACGAAACAACCCCTTATCTACAGCATTCCGTTGTGATTTTTACTGCTGCAGCGTATCAGCCTGATCAGACCACAGTCTACACATAAATAGGACTCTAGCTTTTAGTTTTCACTTTTTGGGTTTTTTTTGAGGTAAGACATAATAGTTTTTTGGCCTATATAAAGAGTGTAATTTTTTAAATAATAAATCTAACCTAGGGATACAATGTAAAACACTTATCCACTCTGTCATTTTTTTAAGAAGAACACTGTGCACTTTTGTACAAGAAAATAAGGAGTCTAAGAAATGAAGAATGTACTTCTGTTTGCACTCTTGCAGTATGGAGACTGTGCTGTAAATACAGGATTGTTTCTGTGGTTGAATTCTGTTGCTCGAATGCTGCATGTGAAAATAACTAGATTCAGCATTTCACTTTCTGTTCTGTTTATCAAGTATTTTTCATTCATATTAATGATGGGTTTCCACGTTTTCAGTGTTCAAATGAGCTTTCTTTGGGAAATGCAGGTGATGTGCAGGTATTGTGCGGGGAGTAAAGAGCTTGTGTGTTCACATGATATTTAATTTCTTCCTTTCTGGAAATTCAGGGAGTGTGTAAGTTGATAATTGGGTCACTCTGGCCTTGCTAGACAGCTGGGAGATGGGGGGTGACTGACTGTAAAATGTATAGTTTTGGTAGCTGTTGTTATATGTAGCTAATGAATGAAACCAAATGAATTAAGAATGCTGTTGTACAGTATAAAGCTGCTTTGTTTCACTTAATCTCTTTATGTTCTTGAGACAAGTTGCAGAACTCAAAAGCTCCATATGCATCCTGGCTCTGTGTATCTGCAGCGCATTCAGTACTGTCACAACATTTATAAATTGGTATCCAGCTGTTTAAATGTGTTCCAGCTTTTGCTTTGGGTTCTCTTTTCCATTGTGTCATTTTGAAAATTACAGCTTTTGATAGTGGGTCACTTTAAAGTAAATTAAATCCTCGCTACTTTTCAAAGATAGAAATAGCCTGTTGTCCAGAATCAGAGTAGGGCTAATTTGTCTGTTGTTCTGATGGTCATATATTCTGTACTGTACGTAATGAACCAGTTTCAATAAATGTAAGAACACACTGTGCAATCTATATTTAAGCAATAAAATAAAATTTAAAATAAATCCTTTCTAAGGTGTCAGTTAACTTTTATTGTTCACAATTAAAATGTCAATGAAAATTTTTTTACATTTACAATAGAACTCATTTTACACTTTTTTTTTTTTCAAATAGAGCGTTACAGCATTATTAAACTACTGCTTTTATTTATGATTGAACATTACTATCACCAAGACCACCAAAAGCTGAGAATGCAATAATATAAAAATAATTTTCTAATAGCAAACACACTTCAGGAAGATAAATAAGCTGTGTTTTTCAGGTCTGCCTCCCTGGTTAAGGAACTTCCTGGGTTTGTAGCATCAATTTCAAGGAATAAGGTTGTCAGTGTGTGTGAAGATCTGTGTACAGCTTGCCCAGAGGTAGCTGTTTTCAAACAACAATGCCATCTAATGTAGCTGAGTATTATACTGTTGTTACTCTCTTTTTTTTTGGTAACATTCATTTATTTAAAGGTTTTTAATACTGCACCCTTAGAGAAGCAGGAAGAACAATTTTTTTTTTTCTAATTTGACAAAATTGGGACCTTCTGTAGCTCACATGAGATATGTCCTAATACACAGAGGATTATATTTTTGCCTTTTTTTCCCTTGTTCCTCTGGTCTTCGTTTTTGCAGATGTCAAAACTTTGTGTATATTTAGGAAATTTCAGAGGGTAGGCATTTTCTGTCATCAATGACTTAGCATGGATCTCAGAACCTGCTGTTAAGATGTGTGGTCATCAGCCTTTTTTGTTGCTCAGGTTGGTCTAAGCAGGATTTTGATGATGGGTATCTCAGAACAATCCAGGTAGAAAACAGTAGCCACACTTGGGAGATTATTTTAACTCATCTCTGAAGAGAAGGTATGGAGGTGAAGAAGAGATTCAGTCACCCTACCACATGAGACCAGACAATGAGGGATAAAGAGGCAGCCACTGCAGCTCTAAGACGAAACAGAGATGACCTGTTAAGAGCTACTTTCTGGGTACTGAGAGAGTGTCTGTCTGGAGGTTTTTGGTTCTTCGGTGTTGCCTTTATTTGATGGACTTAACTCATTCATTGCTCACAGTTTTAATTGTACTGTGACCTGGATCATCAGTACACCTGAATAGTGCTGGTTTTCAGAGTTCCTGTCTTCCTAAACTATGTTGTTTATAGCGTCATGTTCCCAGATCTTGAATAATTTATCAGCTAACAGGCAAAGAATAAGTGCTTAAAATGTTAAAATAAGTAAATTAGTATCTAATGAAGTAGGAAATCTTTTTAGATTAGTAATTAATAGATTAGTTGTTCACTTTGGGGAAACAACTAGGTTTTGGCCAGCTATGCCCCAAATCTTTGAAAAATACAGTGTAAAGCTACTATGAGAATAAGAGGAGAAAGAAAAAAGCTATGCTAAATACCTCTTCTTGATCTGCTTATCTTTAAAAAAAAAATAAAATAGCACTGATCTCTGAGAATTAATAAATATAGCTAATCATAGCTTGATTATTTAAGACTTTATCAACACAATTCATATGGTGGCAATTACAGGACAACTTTGGTGTTAAATTCTTCCTGAAATAAGAGATACTGGAAAAAAGGCTGAAGGAAGTAATGACTACGTTGCCTGAATAACAGCATATTTATATTGCAGTTTCTCTGTTACTTGATCAATTCAAATGATCCATCTCTATCACTGCAATCAGAAACTTCAGCATATGTCTGAGTGAATATTTGCATGTGTTATTTGCAAAACTATGACTGTAATTGTAGTTTTAATAATAAGCAGAAAGGGATTTTTTTTTTTAATCTTAAACTTGTATTTTAAAGGCAGGCTTCAGAGCAGCAGCACTGCTATCATCAGAGGAATGAGCTTCTGTTATTATTAAGCATCAATGCATTTAGTTCACTTGTTTAAAGGCCAGTTTTTTCCCATTTCAGCTAATTAGCTATCTGACCTTTCCATTATCACTTTTATTTATAAATGCTGTGAAATATTAAACAGTTTTTCCTCACCATGATCAAAGGCTGATAAAAGTTCCAATTCTGAAACAAGTAAACATATCAGCATAACGCAGATCTCATCCTCAGCACTGGGCAGAAACGGGCATTTGGCAGATTTGTAGCCTTTTCCTTAACTACTGGAATGCCCTCGTTCTATACAGCAAAACGTGTGTGGGGGGAAAAAGTAATCACAGTTAATTAAAACCTTGTCTGCAGATAGAATTTCTCACATCACTT